AGTGTACCATTTGCCCAAGAAAAACCTTGATGAGAGCTGGGGTCCTGGGCTAACTCTGTTATAAGCTGTTGTAATGCCAAGTCAGTTTGCCAACTGAGTTTGATTGTGGGAAGCCAAGTAGAAGCTATGGCAAGCAAGGAATTTACAGTGGCATGTTCAAAAAATAAATCTTCCCTCCGTGATAATGCATCAACCACCTTGTTTTATGTACCATGCTTGTAGGTGATCTCATAATCATAGCCAAATAGTTTGGCAATCCATTTCTGCTGGAAGGGGGTTGCAACTCTTTGCTCCAGTAGGTACTTCAAACTTTGGTGGTCTGTCTTGATAATGAAATGCCTCCCAAGCAAGTAATGCCGCCATTTTAGGATTGCTAAGACTACAACCATTAGCTCTTTTTCATAGGTGGATAAAGTCAAATATTTCCCTGACAATCCTTTACTCCAAAATGCAATTGGATGCCCCTCTCCTGCATTAGTACTACTCCTAACCCTTTATCTGAAGCATCTGTTTCAATAATGAATTCTTTGGTGTAATTAGGGAGAGCCAGGACTGGTAAGGTCATCATAACAGCCCTAAGAGCATGAAAAACTGATGTTGATTCATCAGTCCAATGAAAAGACTCTTTCTTCAACAAATTGTTCAATGGAGCTGAGATCTGCCTATAATTCCTCACAAATCTTCTATAATATCCAGTTAGACCAAGGAATCCTCATAACTGTTTGAGGGTTGTAGGAATTGGCGAGTTAGCCATGGCCTCAAGTTTGTTAGCATCCCCAGAAACACCCTTGTCGGAGACCAAGTGGCCAACGTACTCAACTTCTTGTTTGGCGAAGACACACTTAGACCTTTTTAGCAAACAAGTTGTGCTTCTGTAAGAGTTGCAAGGTCAACTTTAAATGAGATAAATGCTCATTCAAGGTTTTGCTAAAAATCAGTATATCATCAAAGAAAACCAAGATAAACTTCCTCAAATTTTCCTTAAAGACCTCATTCATGAGACTTTGAAAAGTTGAGGGTGCATAATGTCGCATGCACTCTAACTTGGTGATATCCAGCCCTCAAATCAAGCTTAGAAAAGAAAGAAGCACCATAGAGCTTATCTAATAACTCATCAATTGCAGGTATTGGAAACTTATCCTTCACAGTAATGGTATTTAAAGCCCTGTAGTCAACACACATACGCCAAGTTCCTTCTTTCTTTTTATCTAACAAAACAGGTGCTGAGTAAGGACTGACACTTGGTTGAATGACCCTGGAATGAAGCATCTCTTTAACTTGTTTTTCTATCTCATTTTTTTGAAAATGCGGATACCTATAAGGTCGTATGTTTGGAGGTTCTGCACCTGGTTTTAGGGGAATGTGGTGGTCCTGGCTTCTTGCTGGAGGCAAGCTTTTGGGTTCTTGGAATACTGTTGCAAATTGGGACAACAATTGCTCCACTTCAGGTACATCAGATTCTGCTGGAGAAGCGTCTTGTGTAGCATAAATGTGAGCCACAAACCCGTGAGGTTTCTTCTGCAATAATTTCTTCATGTGTTCAGCATCCACCAACTTGGATTCCCCTTGCTTTCCACCCCTCAGAACATGCCTCCTATTGTTGAGAGTGAAATCCATACTGAGATTTTTGAAATCCCATTACATAGGACCCAGTGTAGCCAACCATTGAATCCCAAGCACCATATCACACCCTTTGAGTTCCAAAACCCTCATGTCTGTTTGGAAGACCACCCCTTGCATCTCCCATTTGCAACAAACATTGTTGCAAGCGCTGATCATCTTTGTTTCATCAGCAGCAAACATTGTTAAAGGGTCAATGTCAATAGTCTCCACACCTGCTCTCTTAACCACTTCTTGGTTCAAAAAGTTATGGGTACTACCAGTATCAATCAAGATCACCACTCTTTGTTTCTTGACCAACCCATGTACCCTCATGTTTCTGTAAGAGACAGAACCAGTTATTGCGTTAATAGAAATCTGCAACTCACCTTCTTGTTCCAGGACTTCCTCACTTTCCTCCTCCTGTGTAGGTTCTTGATCGGAGTCCTCTTGGTCCCCATCCAAAACATACAACTGCTTTTGCTTGCATTGATGTCCCCGTGTGAACTTTTCGTTACACTAGAAACACAACCCTTTTGCCCTCTTTTCCTCCAACTCCTTTGGTAACTCTCTTCGAATGGCAGGAAAAGAATTAGGTCTGGATTGCCCATACGAAAAATTTTCTCCAGTTCTTAGTGGCAGCCTGGTTTTCTAGGTAACTGCCTCAATACTGAGTTCTTGCAACTTGGCTAAACCGATGGCTTGCATGGTATTTGTAGGTTTAAACGTCAAGACATTGTGCCTGTTTGGCAGAAATTATTTACAGCTTATTTCAGCTTTCAGTTTAATTTAAGCTATTTTGATGTGTTTGGTTTAGCTTATACCTTATAGCTTATAGCTTTGTGGAAGTCAGAAATCAGCTTATTCTTTGAGTGGGGCAGGAGATGCTTTAAGAATAAGCTGGAAATCAGCTTAAGCTGAAAGTTATAAGCTATAAGCTGTTTAGGCATAAGCTATAAGCACTTTCCCACAGCTCTACCAAACGGGGCTGAAGCATCTGTTTCAATAATGAATTCTTTGGTGTAATTAGGGAGAGCCAGGACTGGTAAGGTCATCATAGCAGCCCTAAGAGCATGAAAAACTGACGTTGATTCAGCAGTCTAATGAAAAGACTCTTTCTTCAACAAATTGTTCAATGGAGCTGAGATCTGCCTATAATTCCTCACAAATCTTCTGTAATATCCAGTTAAACCAAGGAATCCTCATAACTGTTTGAGGGTGTTAGGAATTGGCCAGTTAGCCATGGCCTCAAGTTTGCTAGCATCTGCAGAAACACCCTTGTCGGAGACCAAGTGGCCAAGGTACTCAACTTTTTGTTTGGCAAAGACACACTTAGACCTTTTAGCAAACAAGCTGTGCTTTTGTAAGAGTTGCAAGGTCAACTTTAAATGGGATAAGTGCTCAGTCAAGATTTTGTTAAAAATCAATATATCATCAAAGAAAACTAAGATAAACTTCCTCAAATATTCCTTAAAGACCTCATTTATGAGACTTTGAAAAGTTGAGGGTGCATTTGTCAGCCCAAAAGGCATGACTAAGAACTCATAGTGTCCGTCATGAGTCCTAAAAGTTGTTTTTGGTATGCTAGAGGCATGCACTCTAACTTGGTGATATCCAGCCCTCAAATCAAGCTTAGAAAAGAAAGAAGCACCATAGAGCTTATCTAATAACTCATCAATTGCAGGTATTGGAAACTTATCCTTCACAGTAATGGTATTTAAAGCCCTGTAGTCAACACACATACGCCAAGTTCCTTCTTTCTTTTTATCTAACAAAACAGGTGCTGAGTAAGGACTGACACTTGGTTGAATGACCCTGGAATGAAGCATCTCTTTAACTTGTTTTTCTATGTCATTTTTTTGAACATGCGGATACCTATAAGGTCGTATGTTTGGAGGTTCTGCACCTGGTTTTAGGGGAATGTGGTGGTCCTGGCTTCTTGTTGGAGGCAAGCTTTTGGGTTCTTGGAATACTGTTGCAAATTGGGACAACAATTGCTCCACTTCAGGTACATCAGATTCTGCTGGAGAAGCGTCTTGTATAGCATAAATGTGAGCCACAAACCTGTGAGGTTTCTTTTGCAGTAATTTCTTCATGTGTTCAGCATCCACCAACTTGGATTCCCCTTTCTTTCCACCCCTCAGAACATGCCTCCTATTGTTGAGAGTGAAATCCATATTGAGATTTTTGAAATCCCATTACACAGGACCCAATGTAGCCAACCATTGAATCCCAAGCACCATATCACACCCTGTGAGTTCCAAAACCCTCATGTCTGTTTGGAAGACCACTCCTTGCATCTCCTGTTTGAAACCTTTGCAAGCTACACCGCTGATCATCTTTGTTTCATCAGCAGCAAACATTGTTAAAGGGTCAATGTCAATAGTCTCCACACCTGCTCTCTTAACCACTTCTTGGTTCAAAAAGTTATGGGTACTACCAGTATCAATCAAGATCACCACTCTTTGTTTCTTGACCAACCCATGTACCCTCATGGTTCTGTAAGAGATTGAACCAGTGATTGCATTAATAGAAATCTGTAAATCACCTTCTTGTTCTAGGACTTCCTCACTTTCCTCCTCCTGTGTAGGTTCTTGATTTGAGTCCTCTTGGTCCCCATCCAAACGTACAACTGTTTTTGCTTGCATTGATGTCCCCTTGTGAATTTCTCGTTACACTTGAAACACATACCTTTTGCCTTCTTTTCCTCTAACTCTTTTGGTAACTCTCTTCGAATGGCAGGAAAAGAATTAGGTCTGGACTGCCCATACGAAAAATTTTCTCCAGTTCTTAGTGGCAGCCTAGTTTTCTGGGCAACTGCCTCAATACTGAGTTCCTGTAACTTGGCTAAACCAATGGCTTGCATGGTAGTTGTAGGTTTAAACATCAATATATTGGCCCGTATCTCCTTCTTTAACCTACTAACGAAACAACTAGTAAAGAAATGTTTAGGTAAAGGGTTTTGTTAGCAAGGATGTCGAACTGTTCCTGATAATCCTTGACAGATGTTGTTTGCTTTAATTTGGTTAATTCACCCACAGCATCCTCATATGCATCAGAACCAAAACGAGAAATCAACCCATTTTTAAATAGATCCCAATTTACCAAAGCGTGTGTTTTCTCAAACCATTGATACCATTGCAAAGCTCTATCTTCCAAATGCAAGATTGCCAATTTCACCTTATTATTATCAACACAATTATACTCAAAAAATCTCTCGCATTTGTAAACCCAAGCTGACGGATTATCACCAATGAATTTAGAGAAGTCAATCTTGGCGTACCTAGTTCCAAACCCGGGAAAAGGTTGAGATTGGGAAGAAGACTCTGCTCTGAATGGATTGGAACTCACCCCTAGATTTCGGGACCCCCAGGTACAGATTCTCGTTGCTTTCCATACACATGAGCCACCACCTGATCATACTTGAAAGTCACCGCTGCCATGAATTTCTTGATTTCTACTAGAGTGTTCTTGATTTCCTCCGCTTCTTTTGCTGAATTAACTTCTTGTTCTTTCAAAATTCGAAGGGAATCTTCGAGTTTCTTGAGATCTTGACTCCTAGTCCCATCTGCCATTGCAAATTGACCGCTTCACAAGCCGAGAAAGGTAGGTTCTGATACCCCAATGTAATGACTAGAAATGGAAGATGAAGAAATATAGAAGGAAAAGAGTTTATTGGTGCTCCTATTCCAACCCAACGACTGGTTACAAAGCAATACAATGAATGAATTGGGCAATGTATTCCCTCCTATATTTATACACATAACCACTCCTAACCTAACAATATCAGTAATTGTAACCTAACAGATTCAACAATTGGAATTACAAGAATAGCCTCAGAAATATAGGTAGAATTACAAGAATAGCCTTCCCAATTAACTTGTTCATAACATATTGTATTTTATACTGGGTTTTGTTTCTTGTATAATTTTAAACCCATTTTACTTCTACTATTTTCCTTTTGGCCATGTCTGATTGATTACCAGGATTAATAATAGTGAGGGGATTAACAATCCGTGGGATTAGTGTAGGATTGTTTATCCCTCTTATCCAAGTTTGTTTTGCTGTAACTATGGACGTACATAATTTCAATTATAAATTTGTCTTGAATTATTAGTTATAGTATTGTTAAAATATTTGTCAATTTTGTTGGATAGAATGTTCATTAAATCTAATCCAGATAGCAAAAATTGCAACCAAACAATAGAATGTGCCTGTTTGGCAGAAATTATAATCAGCTATGTCAGCTTTCAGCTTAATTTAAGCTATTTTGATGTGTTTGGTTTAGCTTATAGCTTATAGCTTATAGCTTATAGCTTTTTGGAAGTCAGAAATCAGCTTATTCTTTGAGTGGGGCAGGAGATGCTTTAAGAATAAGTCAGAAATCAGCTTATGTTCATAGTTATAAGCTATAAGCTGTTTAGGCATAAGCTATAAGCACTTTTCCACAGCTCTACCAAACAGGGCTAATGTGAGTCTAATGGATTAATAATCCCAATCCTATGCTATAATCCAGCCAATCAAACATAGTCTTCTTTTTCTGGTCTTTATATGTAAAATTTGTGGCAAGTTTCAAATCAGTCAGGATATGTTTTTTTTCAATTGAGATAGCAGGGGAATTTAAAATTCTGGTTTCTTGAATGTGTGGGGGTGGCGTTGCTGGTTGAGCATTTTTTCTAGTATCTGTTGTTCAAAAGCCCTGTAGAACTATCAGAATTGGGTGAACTGGCTCTTTGGAACTCTCACATAGCATTAAGTTAGTTAGATATCGCCTCTTGGCTTTTCATGCCATTGTTCAAAACTCAATTCACTCAGGATTTTCTGTTGCTAAATCGAGCTACCTAACCCTAGTTTTGCTTTTGCACTTGGAAAGAACATGTGATTTCATGCAGCCGAGAGAAAGTCTGTCTTGTCATTTCTCTTTCTCTTTTTATTTGCTTCCATAATGTTTTTTCGTTTGATGGCATGACCCATTTTGCGAACTAGGTTAAAATCGGTCAGATGGAGCTGGAGTTTGGTACTGTTTATTATTGGCTTATCCATTTCCTACAGATAATATATTTATGTAAATGTAGAAGAATAGCTGTGAGTTTGTTCTTATGAGGTAGGGAATTATATGGTTTTTGACTCAAGCTACATATATATATATATATATTAAAACAAAGATGTATAATTCTGGAGTTCTGTGACTTACAAGACAAGCCTGAGTTCTGTATCTTCATTACCGGCCTGTTTCTTGTATGACAATAACTAATTTTTTCTCAATAGTTTTCTTCAAAATGCACAAAGGGTTCAGTTCACATACTGAATAGAAGAATATTGCTTGGTTTCAGGTTGAGGTAAACTATATATATCTTTCTTGTGAAGAACAAGGCCTTGTAATGGATGATGCTCAAGTGAGAAAGAAGGCCTTGTATCGTGCTAAATTGAATGCCAATAAGCTGGAGAAGTGCATAGAATCTCCTCTTGTGAGGTAATTTGCTTTATCCTTAACTCCTATTGGTTATTGCCTGTGCCACAATGTCAATGCATTAAAACCACATAAAACCTTGACTTCATGTGTCTATTTGTATGAACTTGTAACTTACACCTCGTAGCTAAATTCTTTAAGTGAGTGGCAAATTGAGAAGGAAAATAAAATAAAAATGAATAACTGATCTTATCCCTCTATGTGGTCTAAGGTGGAGTTTGGCAATTGTTTTTTAGTAGATTTTTTTTTTTGTACTTTCATAAACTTTTTTTAAAACATTTTTAAAAAGCTTTACACTTGTAAGTTATACTTGACTTGCTAGACTTGAGAAGTAAAAAAAGGAAAAAAAGAAAAGAAAAGTCCAATATGAAAAAAAAAAAAGGCTAAAAAAGTAAACCTTTTCTTTTTGGGTTTTCAGTTAATTTTTTTAGATTTTTTAAACTAGATGGACATGAAAAGTAATTTTTGTTGACACATATCTAAAAAGAAAAAAAAAAAAATCACGATATACAAATCAGTGTGTTTGATTTCAATTTTTTGAATTCAATTTTCTAGAAATTGAGTTTTTTTGTTTTTCGTGTTTTTTTGTTTTTAGTGAATATTTTTAAAATTTTAAGCAATTTTTTTTTTTTTTTTTACTTTTTTAGATGCACCTTACTTAGATGTATTTAAAAAGTAAAATATTTGTAAAAAAATATTTAAAAAAAATAATAAATATACAATAATACAAAAAATGTACTGAATTTTTGTATTTTTTTTTCTTTGTATTTTTGGTATTTAGTGATTTTTTTAAAGATTGTTTTCACAAATATTATACTTTTTAAGTGTATTTACATTAGATGTATCTAAAAATTAAAAATATTGCTTAAAATATTAAAAAAATTCAGTAAAAACAAAAAAATACGGAAAACAAAAAACTTCAATTTTCTAAAAAGTGAATCCTGAAAATCATAACAAACAGAGTGAACAAGTTTGAAAAAAAAGTGGTTTTTTATGTTTATATTGCCTTGGCCTGGCTTATAAGTCTAAATTTTATATTTTTGTATGTGAAAAGGAGTATAAATATCTCCATATACCAAATGCTTGCTAATGAGTACTGCATCTCCTGAGTTGTAACCTTCCCATGGCAAATATGTGCAACAATATGAACTACTAGTAAATTTTTGTAGTATAATTAGCATTCTAGTAGTTGTACTAAAGCATGCATAGGTGTTGAAGTCAATGATCACATAGTTTGAAGAGTTGGGAAAGCTCAGGTGAGAGGCGGAAGTTCACCTCTGAAATTAAAAGCTAAATTTATATAGCATGAGAAGATGCATAACTGTGCCATGAAAATGGGATGCATTTATTAAAGTTTTATAGTTTTGAGATAAAAGGGCATTATAAAAACTAAAGTGGCTTCGCTGAAAATATATATGTGATGTTCTCAATGGTACCAAATAAAAGACAATTGAATTCATGGAAATCAACAAATATTGTGACAATGATTACATTAACTTGCTTCAATTTATATATAAAAAAGATTACATTGGCTTGCTTTCATATACGGCCCAAAAAACAACATATAACCTTGATTTTCTTCCCTTTTTTTCTTGGTATTTTTTCATTAACTTTTACATTTTTTTACCTTTCTAATGTATTATTTTTTCAAATGCTATGTTGTCACAATGGCATGATTACTCTAACCAAATTGAAATGATTTATGATTATGTTTCAGCTTGCATCTTGTTTACTTTTCCTTTTTGTGCACGTAGGTACAATAAATTTGATCAACATGTCAGTAGGGTTTGTGATGTCGTTTTTAGATCTGAGTCGCTTTGGTCTGCACACCAAGCTTCTCATAAACATCATGAGGTGAACTTTACTATTCCTTCTCGATGATATATAAAGCTTTGACATGGGTGCGTGTGTTGATTATCTTGCAAAAATGGTAGCACACAGAACTTGAAGATGACAATGTCCTAATTTTATTGCATTATGAATAAAATTATAAAAGTAAACTGTGCATATCTACTCAAAGTTTAGCACATGCAACATAGTGTGATAAACTTAGTCATCTATGAGGTACTGAATTTTTTTTTTTTTTATTTTAATTTGTTGTTAGGTAGTATAGCAGGTACAAATGAACACTACAATACTAGATAGGCTGTGGAGTTGAATTTGTGACTCAAGGTTGGTTCAGAAAATGTGTTTTTATTAGTTTTTTTTTTCAAAAAAACTTTCTTACCTTTTTAGGATAAAGTTGATGCCAAAAAAGTTGATGCATTTGGCAAATGTAAAAAAAGTTGCTTTTTGTAATTGGGAAATTCTAGGTGGGGTTTGAAATCTTTTTTTGTCATTGGTGAACCTGTTTTGAATTTTTAATTATTATTATTTTTTTTTAACATTTTAGATCCTTTGAGGCTAGAAAAGACTTGAGAAGTAAAAGAATTTAATAATTTAAAAAAAAAAAATTTACTCAAGACAAAAGGGTTTAGAAAAAGTGTTCCCCCCACCCCCCCTCTAGCTAAACAAGCTGAAACCAAACAACCAAAATGTTTTATTTGTTTGGTGAAGCTTTTTTTTAGCTAAAAGTAGATAATCAGAAAGCAGAAGTTAGCACCCCTTCCCCAATTTCTAAGGGCGTGTTTGGTAACGTTTACGTTTTTAGTTTATATTTACAAAAATTTTATAAATTGGTTTTTGTTTATTTTTTGTTTATTTTTAGAAAAACATAAACTACAAACGCGTTTGGTAATTGACAAAATGTTTAAAAAAATTTAAAAATATAAAAAAGAATGAGAAATGACAAGTGGTGGCAAGTAGCGGCGGAAAACGGTGGTGGAAAGTGGTGACGGTGGGTGATGGGTAGCGGATGGTGGTGGTGGGTGGGTAGGTGGGTAACGGTAGTAAAATAAGTAATGACACACAAACATACTTTGTGTACAGTAGAATAATATGACCTCATGTATTTTTTAATTCCAATTAAAAACCTACTATTTTAACTTTTGATTTTTTGCAAATGGAAAATGTTAATTATGGTCTGGAAGTGGTGGTTAATGTTGATAAAAAAAAAAACTGAAAACTCAAAATAGAAACACATTTTTTGTATTTTCATTTTTTGGCCAAATTTATAAACTGAGACCATTGATTTATAAATCAAAAATTTTACCAAACAAGTTTTTATTTGAGTTTTTTAAAATTTTATAAATATAAACAGAAAACTGAAAACATAAGTGTTACCAAACGGCACCTAAATAATCATTTTTTTTCAGCTTATTTAAGTTATTTCTGCCTAATAAGTTATAAGTAGAAGTTGACCCAAAATTGGCTTTTTTAGCTGAAACCAAACGGAGCCTCAAAAAATGAAAAGTCAAAACCTTTATATTTCCTTAACTAATTTGCCAATTGAAGTTGGATGTTAATTGCTAAGAAGCACGGACATGAACACATGACATGATATGAACATGTCGACGCGTAAATTTTCAAAACATGTAGGGCATGATACGTGGGGGACAAAAAAAAATATAAATCTCATCTATTTATTTATATAATATCTATTATTAGAATCGTACGATTTGCGATTCGAATCATAAGATTCGATTCGATTCAGTGGGTAATCAATACAAACAGGTTGTATGACTTGCAAATAGCTATGAATCGTAGGTGAATCGGTGAATCGTGAATTGAGAATCGATTCAATTCACTAAAATCGACGTTTGCTTTTCTTTTTTGGTTTTTTATTGTTGGAAAAGGGTTCACACAACCTTTTTAAGGTCTTTAGGATTACTATATGCCATCTTTTGACTCTCTCTCCCTATTTACTCTTAAATACTCAAACCTTAGCCCAAAAAAATAAACTCTCTCTCTACAATATTCTAGGCTTACATATTCAATTTTATCTCAGTACTTACATTTACAAAATGAATTTTTGAAGGCATCAAGTGATATTTTTGAAAAAGTTTGAAGATTTTGGTTTTTTAACCTTGTAAAAAGTTAAAAACATTGTTGTTAAGTGATTGCTACTTGAAAATTGAAAGTTTGCCTTTGTTTGCTTTATTTATTAAGAATGGTTGATAAGAAATAGTATCTAAAAGGAAAAAGGTAAAGTAGTAAACATGGGAACCTGTATTAACTTCTTACCAAGACTACAAGATCATCATTTAAAACAACATTTTCATTGATTTAAGTTTAAATATTTAATATTTATTAGATATATTTAATATCAAGTGTGTAGATATATTTTTCTATGTAATTTAAAAAAAGTGACCGAATCTTTACGATTCACGATTCGGGAGAATACCATATCAATTTGCGATTCGAACCCTGATTCGACAACTATTATCTTATATAAGGTCTCGTTTGGGAATATGCTATTTTAGTAACTTTTTGGCTTTTTACGAAAAGATGTGCACAAGAGTAGAGAAAGTGATGTGACAACTTATAATAACTTTTTGGCTAAAACTGAAGGTTGCCAAACGAGGCCTAAGGATGAGCATTTATTGTATGTCACGTATAATGCTATGTAAGTAACACTAATTTCTAAACTTTAGAGGAGGAAAATAGATATAAATGTACATTGTTTTTCTTTTATTGTTGGATGTTAAGTTATTTTATTCAAACATGTAGTGTCTAAAGCATGCCTTAGTCTAGAAAATTTTAAAAAATAGTGGGACATATTTTGAGGTGTGTTTGACAAGGATCGAGGAGTGTCGCATGGCTGTCATGTCATGTTGGTGTTGGACATGGCATGCTACCTACCTAGAAGTGTCCATGTTTCTTAATAAAAAAAGATATGAATATATTTAACTTAATTGAGCACATTACCCTTAAAGTGGAATGGAAAAAAAAAGATTCAAGTAGCAGAAGCTCTTGGAATGCTTGTGTGTGTTACATGGTCTTTGGGTAGAACTTACCTTAAAAGCTAGTTATTAAGATGAGGGTGCCCTCATGCTTATATGCTTAATATTACTTTAGTACTCAGGCAATGTGGGACTTCGCTTCACACCCTTCCTAATGCCCAACGTGCTCACTCGGTAGCACCTGTGGCGTGCAAGCCAGGGACATGCACCCTACCCATCTCTAAGTATTTTGGCTTTGATACCGTGTTACACGGTCTTGGGTAGAATTCACCCCAAAAGCTATCTATTAAGGTGAGGGTGCTCTCACACTTATATGCTTAATATTACTTTAGTACTCTGGCGATGTGAGACTTCGCTTCACAGACTTCCTGACGCCCAGCGTGCTCACTCAGCGACACCTGCGGTGTGCAGGCCAAGGACATGCACCCTACCTGTCCTTGAGTACTTCGGCTCTGATACCATGTTACACACGGTTTTAGGTAGAACTTACCCCAAAAGTTAGCTATTAAGGTGAACGTGCCCTTACGCTTATATGCTTAATATTACTTTAGTACTCAGGTGATGTGGGACTTCGCTTCTTAGTGCGCCCCTTTAAGTAAATGTGTTTCTATAGTCCTTGGTTCATAATAAGATTAATATCAATGATTTGTTTCAAGGAAAGAGATGTAATTATCTTGGCTCACAAAGTCACAATCGTGCACTTTGTGTAGAAGGGATAAAGAAAAATTGACCACTTATTTTTTTGGCATCATCTTGTGGCTTTATCATTTTGGTGTAATTTGTTTTATATGGTGAATGTTGAGTGGGCGGCTCCTCTTTCTAAGGGATTTGGAACTAATAAGAAAGCTCAAGGTTCTTGGGATTGTAACCTTTGTTATATTTTGGGAGAGTAGGTTAGAAAGGAATGTAACGATTTTGAAGACTAGTTTGGAGATATAAAGGGGATATGAGGTAAGATTTCTCATGTGTCTTCCATTTAGGGCTTCTGTCTCTTGTCCTTTTGCTACCATTGCTAACCTTGTGCTCTAACCTAGTTTTCATAGTAGTTGTTGGGAATAAACCCACCCAAGCAATGGAAGCAAATAAAAATAAAATAGACACAGAAAATAGGAGAATATATAATTTATGTGGTTTGGCAAAAATGCCTATATTCACAAACATGATAGAGCAATTCACTAATAGTAGAACATTACAAATGGTGAGACAAATACACTCCCTAATATTTTTTCCACTTGCCCTCACTACTGTTACTTTTAACCTCACGCCCCACTGTTACACACTGTTATCAATCACAAACATTTTCTTTTTTATATCCTACACACATCACGTCTGGTGACATATATGCACATGATAAATGAAGAATAAAGATTGCACATTTTGATCTATTCAAGGTTTGTAGGATAACAAGATCTTTCATGTTTGGCAAACTCACAAGCATAACAACGAAAACTACTCCTATAACAATTCTTCACTAAAGTAGGAAAAAGCTTTTCCAAAACAAAAATAGTGAGATGCCATAAACACTTATCACTGTTGTAAATGATGAAGGGAAGAATTTTTAGTAGTTTGAAGAGCTTGACGAGTGAACAATGATGAAAAGAAAGTTCCAACATCCAGAAAGTACAATTCCCCATGTGCTTTACCACTGCTAATCATATCTCTTCGTACCCAATTTTTGAAATGCAATGTGGATGATAAAAGTTTATGTAACAGTTCAAGAAATTGGTAAGACTACTAACAAAAAGTAAATTAGTAGAAAATTTTGGAACATTGAGAACAAATGAGAGTAATTTGGGTTGGGGTGGGGCTAGGGGTTTGGATAGAACGTTTCCCTATCATAGAGGATATAGAACCATCAACTACTCTTACTTTATCCATACTACAACAACGAGAGTCCAAACCAAACTAAACCAAGCCTCAAGTCCCATCAAATGGGATCGGCTATATGAATCCTTCTTCTCCACTCGACTCTATCTAAGGCCATTTTGTTAGTCAAATTAAAGAGATTCATAT